GCTGCCATTTAAGGCAACCAGCCAATGTTCACCGTTATTTGGTATGACCCTACCCTCGGTAATGACTGCTCTTACGTGGATGTACTGCGCTACGCCCTGCAGGAACGGGCAGCTTTCTCACTACCAGGTCAAAACCTGAAAGCTTCATGCATTTGATGAACACAGCGCAAGAAGTTGTCACATCAAGGTTTCCGTAAGATCCCTAGCTTCTATATGAGCGTAACTATATGTAAGCGCTAGGCGACCGGCAAATCGTTAACAGCAAACGAAGCAAGGCTCTTGGAGAGTGAGAGCACCTTACTGGCACGCAAGAATTCGAGAGTGGAGACGACCTAACTTGAGAATTAAATAAACAAATTTCGTTCCAATCATGCACTTAACGAGATCAGACGAGCTAAAAAGGAGGAAAGCTCGGTGTCAGCCGGACGATCTGACTGGTTCAAAAAAGAAACTGTGATGGGAGAGTTAGAAAAAAAAGCGCTGAAATCAATGCACACCTTCTTCAATGCCTTGAAAGCAGAACTACCTATGAAAAAAGCAGAAAACATTATAAGAACGGAAAAATTACCTAACGGATAAGGAATTTTAGCACTATTCAAATATTAACACCCCACTCTGCGAAAACAGTCCAGCTTTTTATCGACTATTTTCTGAAAGATCAGATTTGGTCGAAAATCCGATTTCAGGTGTAGTATACCTCCTCACCAATACCACGTGCGTTTTAAAAATCAAATCCGGTTGGCCTGAAACTGCCTGGCGCCTGCACCAAAGGCACCGGCGCTCGCGCCAAAAACTCTCGATCATCAAAACCGACGAAAACTTGTATACGGCTTTACCTAACATCTTGATTACGAATATGACATCGATTTTAGGTGCCGGCGTTTAGCAGAGGACACTGCGACTTTGCGCTCTGCTAAGGCTGAGCTTGGCCTGAAGGGACTCACCCCTGCTTGAAGCCTCAGCCTTAGCAGAGCGCTGGGTAACTCTGTTGTCGAAAAATGGATGACGTACTCATGAACAGGGCACCAAACGACCCCATTATGCAATTTTATCGATTTTGGTAGAAACTGGTGTGGCGCCAAATTTGCAACTGATGCCGCTGAATGACGCACACCCGGACTCAAAATGAATGTCACGTTTGTGATCAGGGCACCGAATAACTCCAATATGCAAGTTGATACCAGTTTGGTGGGAAAAGTTGTGGCGTCGAACGGCGTCACCTTCAAAAGTGAATGGAATTCTCGTGGTCGCAACGAACGACATGTATAAGCAAAGTTTTGGCATTTTTTGAGTTCTCGGAGTAATAACAGTTGAACAGTGTCGAAAATCCATACAATCAACCAAAAAATAAATGATACTCTTCTTATCTCGTGAGTTTCTAAAGATACCCACCTTCCTTAACCTCTTCATGGCTCTTCTTCCCATATTTTTTGCTGTTTCACCATAATTCTTTTCAAAAGATGGGCCACAAACTGCTTTGTCGAGAAGCTGAAGGAATAAAACGATGAGCTAAATCAAAGGAGCGTGCTTTTTTACCCTACAAGCATTGGAGCTCAATACAGATATAGAAACAAATCCATAACGAAAATAATGGGGAAAATACCAACAAACCTTTTGTATTCCTTCATCCATTGTGGTGTCATGGGATTTGACGTCGTGGGAGGGTTGTTTTGATTTTTTCTCTGCAACGTCTTTCCCGCTTGGCGTAGGCTCAGGTGGCATCTCGTCTGCATTTCCAGTGTCCAGGACGAAGAAGCCATCTGATTCATCTTTCGACTGGAATAAGCATGGAATAAGTGAGCAAGCCGCCAACCACCACTACAAGCTTCTTTTCGTGCTGCTTCAGTTTCGGGAAATATTAAAGAACCTGACTGTTGTCTAGTCACTAAGGCATTGTTCTGCGGTCTAGCGTTTCTCTGGAACGCGGCGGTTCGGCGAAAAGCTTTCGATACGTATCGACTGGCGGTTGGGCGAAGAGTCTGGCGGTTGGGCGAAAGGGTTTTGATACGAATCGACGGGCGTTTCGCCAAACCGCGACGTTTTTCGCCTTCGACGAAACGCTAGCCCGACCGCCGAACGGGCGGTTCGGCGAAACTAGCGGTTGGCGATTCTCCGATCGATGACTATTTTTGCTTTTCGCCCAACCGCCGTTTCGTCAGGGTCGCAGACTGTGAACAATGCCTAACCAGACCATTACTGACTGTCGCAGATAACGCATTATTCAACCCAAGTCACAATACCACTCAAAATGGGTCTTCTCTGATGCGGAATCAGGGCATAGGAAATCTAGAATTGACGATCCTTATGGTCTGATTCCATTCGTGTGGAAGCCACATTTCAAGCTTCTGTGATTTTGCGACCTTCTAAATGCGGATACAAAACAGCGTGATTGGAACACTCAGTCTTGTAGCAATACCCTTCACTGTTATAGGCAGAACCTTTTCGACTAATGCGCTCGATATTCGTTGTCAGCATCCGATGGTCGTCCACAACGTCCACCATCATAGAGGCTCTCACCGCCGGGACGACCTCCCTCAGAGATCAAAGGTTACGGTGGAAGAACTCGATAGGTAGCGATCTGGCAGACTCGGACCTAGTAGAGAATCAGCAAATTAGAAACGATTCACTGGGGGATACGGACTCCTCACAAATATGAATGGGTGGTATAAAAAGTGGAAACGCAATAGATGTCTCCCATGTGCGTTGCGCTGCGCGCCTATCGCTGATTTTTTGAAGGTACAAAGCCTGATGTACTGTTTACAGTCTGCGAACTGGCGAGTTGGAGAAACGATGAAAGCAGTGAATACGTGGTATCGATGGGGAACTGTCGAACTGGCGCAACGCGGCGAACTGCGTAACG